CCTCCCTCCTTTTTTCCTTTCCTGTGCTCTGATCACTATTTTCTACCTTAAGCTTCTTGATTTCCTCCCTCCCTCCCTCCCTCCCTTCCTTCCTTCCTGATCTCAGCTCACTGCAACCTCTGCCTCCCATGTTCAAGCAATTCTCGCACCTCAGCCTCCTGAGATGCTGGGATTATATGCATGCGCCACCAAGCCTGGCTAAGTTTTTGTATTTTAGTAGAGATAGGGTTTTGCCATGATGGCCAGGCTGGTCTTGAACTCCTGTCATCAAGGAATCCACTGGCCTTAGCCTCCCAAAGTGCTAGGGTTATAGGCATGAGCCACTGTACCTGGCCTTGATTTCATTTCTAAATAGAGATGCTGCTGACCTTCATAATTGAAAATCAGCACTCATCTAAGTTGTAAATCATGCTCACTTTAAAAGATAATTTATCAATTATGAATTATTCTTTCAGCAAATTGTTTTTAGAAGACTACCAGTATTTTAACTTGTGTGTCTAGATATTGCCTATACTTCTTTAAATAGAATTTATGTACTATTTGACTTAAGTACTATTTAATTAGGACAATGAGAGTCAAATATTCCAACTTTGTTCTTGAAAGATACTTCACTGTCATAAAGCAAAAGGAGTGAAAATCACTCCTCATTTCAGTCAGATTTCATTAAAAGAAAATATGTAAGAGAGAAATGACTTTTCCCTATATATAATAAAATATTTCAGCAAATAAATTTGCTGGATAAAATGTAAGATATGAAGAATTATTTACAAAGGATAATACATGGTTATCTTTATTAGGTTGTGATGAGGTACAAAAAAAAAAAAAACAAAAAACCAAGACCTGGAATAGTTTTACAGATTTTGTTCTCATTATTGCTAAAGAATCTTAAAGGATCAATGCATAATCCAGGATATTACAATATAGATATATTGCAGTATTTATTATAATATTATACTCTTATGGTGGTTGACCTAAATAAATGGATTAACACATGCAGATGGACAGGAGGTGTTTCAGCTTTTATGGCCCAATGATAAAAAGCCATAGAGAGAAAGACTGGAGCTGTTAGTTCTGAATCATAACTTGGTTATTTAACCCTTTGTGTTTTCACAAAGACTTGGTTAAGTGCTTCTGATAGCTATTTCCATAATATTATGTATTCTTGCTAATCAATTCTAGCACTTATTATACTTTAATTTTTAATTGTCTGATTTACCTATTTGTAAAAGTCGGAACAATGTCTACTTGCTCACTGTTGCTATTCTACTATAAGGCAAAGACTTATTTAATGAGTTAATAAACACTGTTGTAGAGACAAGGATGGCCAGTCAAATAATAGACACAAAACTCAGTAAAGTTAAGTAACTTGCTTAATTTAGTGTGGTTATGAGGCAGAGAAAAAAGAATTTTCATCTAGGTCTTCTATTATCAAGTCAAGTGCTCTTTCTAGTACTGATCATTCAAAACTATTGAATTTCTGATGTAGAAAAAATATGTTTGCACATACATTTCTGTGCATGACAAGTTGTGCGTGCCTAATTTGAAATGTAGAGGCCAGGCGCGGTGGCTCAAGTCTATAATCCCAGCACTTTGGGAGGCCAAGGTGGGTGGATCACAAGATCAAGAGGTTGAGACCATCCTGGTCAATATGGTGAAACCCCGTCTCTACCAAAAATACAAAAATTAGCTGGGCATGGTGGCTTGTGCCTGTAATCCCAGCTACTCAGGAGGCTGAGGCAGGAGAGTTGCTTGAACCCAGGAGGTGGAGGTTGCAGTGAGCCGAGATCGCGCCATTGCACTCCAGCCTGGGTAACAAGAGCGAAACTCCATCTCGAAAAAAGAAAAAAAGAAAGAAAGGAAAAAATGTAGAAAGGGGATTTCTATGGGATTTGGCTAACACTAATATGTACTAACTGATGCAGTAAAAACAAGAATTTCAAACTCAAATTGTATTTCCAATTTTGTGCTGGATATCACTCTTTGGTTGTCTCACATAAGCCTCAGATTAAACACATTCTCAATCAAGATGCATTACCCTCTTTTCTTTTATCCTCAAGACTTGCCATTTCTCTTTTATTCCTTAATATAGTTAATAACATTATCATCTACCCAATATCTCAAATTAGAAACCCCAAAATTGCTTTTTGACTTCTCTGTCCCAAATTTTTATGCTAAAAATTAAAGTAAATAATTCACCTAGAACAGAGCTAAGTGCTAAAATCTATGGCCTTGATATTCAACTTGTGGGGAAAGGCAAAAACTTCATTATTTTAAATAAAAAAAAACAGATATTTGAAATTGGCTTCTGAAATCACTGAATTAGAGTATTCATGTACTAATGAAAAGTTTTAGTTTAAAAATTCTTGATTGGTGTGATACCTGCCTTCAAAGTGAACATTATAATTCCTAAAACCTCCACACAGCACAAAAGATCATATTTGGTTTTCATTAATACTTCATGCCCCTGGTGAAATGTTAGGCTTTCTCTACTTACCCTAGCTAAATGAGGTTCCCTGCTATTATTTCCTGCCAACATAACATTTTCATTTCTTCTTAGCAGGTATTGCATTTCAATTATAATTATTAAATTAATGTGAAATTATAATTATTAGAGTTATTATCTATTTGTTTATTTTACACGTTGAGCATCCCTATCTGAAAATCTGAAATCTGAAACTTTTTGAGCACAAAGAAACGGCTCATTGGAGTATTCTGGATTTCAGATTAGGGATGTTCAACCTGCTTAAGTATCTGCAGATATTCCAAAATTCGAAAAAAAAAAAAATCTGAAATCTGAAACACTTCTGGTCCCAAGCATTTGGATTAGCAATACTCAGCCTGCAATATACAACTAAATTGTAAACTCCATGAAGACAGACAGTACATCTGTCACTGATATTAAAGCACTTACAAGAACACCTAGTTTAGATTCTCTTAGCAGTCTTATGACTTATGAGACCTTTCTTATTAGAAAGATTAACTTCACTTTCTTTCCTCCTTTATTTTAAAAATTTTATTTCCAGATTCCTAATTGGACTAGATTAACTCCTTTTAAAATATCAATATTCAAACTAGTTTCTTTTATCATATTAATATTCTAATTCAGCATTTAAACTTTATATTAAAAATTACACCAAAGTGATAATTTTATCTTTCAGGTATACATTCTAGTGTTGATACAAATTATCCAAAAGAATTATAATCTTATTCCTGACAAAGACATAATGGTTTTTTGAATTCATTGTCAATTTGAATATCTAAGTGTTAACCAAGAAAAACATATCAAGAGAAGCCATTTGCTCTCTTAAAGTTCTGCAATAAGTGAATTAATTTAATGAATATTAACATTATTACATTATTATTTTTTAGAATTTTACTTTGGTAAATTTGGAAGTACCAAGTGATTTTAAAAATTGTATATTATATCCTCTGTCTAACTAAAATGTAATTACAAAGTTTTAAAAAGACTCAAGAATAACTATGTATAATTAAACTTAGCATAAAATATTTTTTAAAAAATACTTATGGTTTCAGTATATTATTAGGGAAAAAAAGAGAATGTGCCTTGAATAGTTCTGGATTCCCAACATTTAGGTATTAATATTCAGTGAACAAAACACCTTACAGTGAACTTAACTTTTAGTTTTAAATATTTTCCAGACTTTACAAGTGAGTTTAGCTGGTACAACTGGATTTTAATGCAGTCAAACTGTTAAGTTATTTTGTTTTAATAATTTAAAATACATAGATGAGATTTTTCCATCTGATTCAGGTTTTAAGAATTCCTTGTTTTCATTCATTTGAAAATGTAACTTATTGGCACCCAAATGGCATTAGCATATACTTAACGTCTACAATGTTCCGATGGTTTATCTTCATTGAAGATTTAGGGCCTCAGTTTTTTTAAATAATAAAATTAATATAAGTTATTTTTGACATATATCTAAAATAATGATATACAACAGAAACACTGGAAACAGTGTTGAGAAGATTATAACATGTAATGTAAAACAAACTGCACTATTCACATCAGAAACTGAGATCCCTTCTAGTCAAATAAAATTATGACATTCATAAAACTAATAGAAAAGATGGAATTGAGGAAGACAGCTATATAGGTACTGAAATTTGATGACAGAGAAAAAAACTATAATTTGAAAAATGAACTGTCAGATTCCCTAGAACAAATTTAGTGTCTAACATCATGTTTTATTACATAAGAAGGAATGTTACTGTTAATCTTTTGAGACCAATATTACATCCATCACATTGAGAACCTGAAAGCACAAATGGCTAACTTAATCAGGAAAGGAGCATTCTAGGAGAAAGCAGTCACAGCAGTAATAATGTCTGCTAGTTAATTTATCATATATACAAAGATGTGAGCAGTATATAAGTGTCTCATCCTTTCCCTACCCTACACAATTCAGTGACAGATTATTAAAAAAAAAAAAAGACTAAGAAACTTCTTCCCTCCCCCAAAGGTTGGCATTAAAACTTTCTTTCTAATAAATTTAGATTTGTTTGCAAATATTAGGCAGCAACATTCCAAGATGAATATGTTTGAAAAAATTTGGAATGATACTAGAGCAGGGAGCTACCCCAGCCTGTACAAGTTTAAAGAAATCCCTTTGGTAACATAATTTTGTTAATCTTGCTATTTACTGGCCAAAAATACATTAATCTTCAATGTAAACAAATAACCTTACATCTGTAATGATGGGTACACTAAAAAATAACAAATTTACAGCAAAGAAACAGGAGCTACAGAAAGAAATACCCTTAGCTGTAATGTAGGAGTAAGACATTTTGAATGAAATCTGTATTGTCCTAATATGACAATTTGTGACACAATGGGTGAGAACTATCTTATACTTTATTTGTTTCTCATAGTGTAATTTTGCATGCAATCCAACCTTGACAAGCAGAAGGAAATATTGGTTAGTTTTCCCAGATTTCTATAGAAGAGCAGGTGTAAGGTGCGAAGGAACTGTACTTACTTTTGGTGTTGGGCAGGAAGCTGTAGAGAGGCGAGATGTAGCCTGAGCACGAGGCGATTCTGAAGGAGTAGTGCTGAGGGAGGCTGTGTCTCGTGGGAGCACCTGAACACCACGAGAAATGATGGAGTCTGGAATCTGAACAAGGGGAACAACTAAGGTTTAATGTTCTGAAAATGCCAATGACATGTAGAATCAAGACCCCCCTTTTTTTTTAGCATTCTTTGTGGCTCAGCTCTGACATATTTACTGTCACTTACTGTTAGACATAAATGCATCCAACAGTTTGAGATAGAATAGAAACTTTCAGATTTAAAGTATTTATCCTGGCAAGTACCATTTCATAAAACTTTTTAAAATGAGAGGCAGTATAGTATTGTAGTTAGGAATAAGGGATTTGTCATTCATCCATATACTTGCTCTGCCCTTCAATAGTTTGAAATCTTGAGCAAGTTTTTTAATTCCTAGATATTTTCCATTTCCTTTTCAGATCAGTCTCCAACCCTTTTCACCCTCTCTGCTCTGAACTGACCTGTATGGATAGCATCAACAAATTATTTTCTGCCCCAGCTTCCAGCTGGGTTCACAGCCAGTGGAAGACACTGGCGGAAGTCTGAGTTGGGATATAGAAAGGTCTGGCATTTATTCTCCTAGCTCCCTCTCTACCAGGTCATCTTAAGTTGGCTGTGTCACTCAACTCAAGATCACAGCTCGTGTCAGACTGCCCTTCTTGCTTACAGTAGTTTCTCTAGATTCTAACAGCACTCTTCCCCTTGGCTCCATTAGGTAGGAGTATGAATGGTTCCCACTGTAACTAGTTCCAGGCATTCCATGATGTCTTTCCCTAAATTCTGTCCAAACTTTTGTACATCCTATAGGTTCTTTTTTGTTTTTGTTTTTGAGATGCAGTCTTAACTCTGTTGCCCTGGCTGGAATGCAGTGGCACAATCTCAGCTCACTGCAACCTCAGCCTCCAGGTTCATGTGATTCTCCTGTCTCAGCCTCCCTGAGTAGCTGGGACTACGGGCACACACCACCAAGCCTGGTTAATTGTTTGCATTTTTATTAGAGATGGGGTTTCACCATGTTAGCGAGGATGGTCTTGATCTCCTGATCTTGTGATCTGCCCACCTCGGCCTCCCAAAGTGCTGGGATTACAGATGTGAGCCACCGTGCCCAGCCCATCCTACAGGTTCTTATTCAACTCTTCTCAGTTACATATTTAAGCATGATATCTAACTTCTGCTAGGATCCTGATAGATATACCTTTTGAATTGCCACTTCCTTTATCTGAAAATTGATGATAACAATAGAATCTGCCTCGCTGGATTACTGTGAGGGCTAAGTAAGATAACATTATGTAAATTATCTAGCACTTTCAAGTAGTAAATATTTAATAAATGTTGGTTATTATTATAGTTATCAACATAGTAAAGACTGATGTAATTAAGTATCACTATTCTAAAAGTATATAAACAAAGACTAATACTGTAGATTATTTTTAACATTATTAATATATGTTGATTGTAAATTTGTTACTTTAGGCTTTGCATAACTTAGCTCATGTTCTGGGATACTAGTAATGGGCATAGGTCTTCTAAGAATGGGAACATGAAAACTTCCAAATTTTGTGCACAAGACTTCAAATATGACAAAATAATGAGCAATTAACATTTAATCAACAAATATCACTTACTATGCGAAGAGAGAAGCAGCCAGACTTTGTGACTAAAAGGTATTCCTAATATTATGCATCATTTCTTCCTCACAAAACTAACACTATTTCCATAGAGTCTCCTTTATTTAGTTTCTATACCAACATCCTTAATTCCAATGGTATTGCTATTATTTCAGTGGTTGAAATTTTATGTGATTTTATAAACGATATAACAATAAGTAGTATTAAAAGCAACAGGAATTCTGAGAAGCAAGACAATTCCATTGCTAGCATATTTGAGTACTGAATTTTGATCAGTATTTCCAAGAAATAAAGTCTAATTTTGAAGAGCTATTTGTTGTCACTTATCTAATTTAAAAGGCCATATACTGAAAGGTCAAATACTCATATTATACTTCATATGACATCATATCCCTCTCCTTCACAGCAATGACCATACTTATAGAGAGTATCACAACATTTATATGTGTGATACTTTGATCAATGTCTATCTCCCACATTAAAATACAGTCATGATGCAACTGTGTTGTGCTCTATTGTATGTACAGCATCTAGTGAAGCAACTGCACAAATAATGTCTGTGTGATATGTATCTTCAGACTTATACACATAATTGCATATATACACTACATATCTCTATGTATATATATATATATGTGTAAACTGAAATCAGGATATTTGAGGGAAAAGATAAGTTTAAATTTTGTGATTAGTTACTTTTGGGCTACTGGTCTTGAGCTACTTGATGAGGTATATGGGTCTGGAACACAGGAAAAAATTAGGACACATAAGTTGGGAATTACCAATGGAGGTAGTAATTTGAATCATTCAAGTGTGTCAGATCACCTATGGAGAATATGCAAAAGAACAAAAAACAGTGTTTGAAAATCTGAGGTAACATTCATATCAAGGGGTTAACAAAAGAAAATGAATGGAAAGAAGATGTCTAAATGGGGTAACCATATATCCTATTTTTCCTTGAACAATCTGGGTTTATACCAATTATGCTGGCTTAATTATTAATCAGCACCTCTTTTCATTTTCAAAAGCATTCTGGTTTGGAAGATAATTATTTGGTGTTCCTATCATAAGAAACTATTAGAGAAAAAGAGGAAAATCGAGATGGGTAGATATCAAAGGAATGGGGGAAAATCAAATATGAGAGATAGGAATAGAGAGAGAGCTGAAAAGAAGCCATTACATCCAGTTAATAAAGAAATCGCTAGTAAAGAAAGTAAAAAGGGTAGATACAAATTAAGGAATTGAGTAGGCATGATAAAGCAAAGTAAATTGTGGGTAAAAGAGACAGATATTTATTACTACTTTTTTTTTGATGCTTGCAGGAGAGGCTTACTAATGAGAATAAGGGGAGTAAAAGTGGTAAAGATAGCTTTAGGAGAATAGTAAAATTCTTTAAAAAATGCATTGATGAATGAAAATGAAGGATAAGGCAAAGGAATTTTCAATTACCATTGTGGATCCAGTTAATATCAGTAAACATAAGTTTGCAATTTCATTTACATAGTTTAGAAACAAATCCTCATCCCCCCATCGTAAAAGAAAAAACAAAACAAAAACAACTGCCTATGCTAGAGATACAGACTTGGAAATTATTGCTGAGATATAGTTGTTGAAGTTACAGTAATAAACAAGATCCTAAAGATGAAGACCATATAAGAATAATATGTCAAGACAGAAACTAGAAAAAGGGGGAAGAATTAGACACTGAAGAACAAGATGGTAGTGATTAGTTACCTGAGAGAATTCTATTTTGTTATTTGATAAAGACAGAACCTGATTACAAGGGGTCAAGAAAAAAACTGGAGGTAAGGAAAAGGAGTCAGTGAATATAGATTACTGTGTTGAAGACAACTGCATTGTTTTCATTTTGAAGACATTATGAAAAATGCCACTAAGAACCTATGGGTGTTATGATACACATGTGAGTAAAATTCTGGGAGAGATATATATACACATACACATTCAGGAATAGAATTGCTGGTTATAGGTTATGAATACCTTCTTTTAAAGATTTCTAAGTTGGTTAAGCAATCTATACATCTATCCCCAAAGAACAGTAACAGTTTCTCTTATTCTATGACTTAATTCTACCTAGCACTTTCGGCATTATTCATTTTAAAACATTTGGTGGGTGTGTAAAATATGGCATTGTGGTTTTATCTTCCCTTTCTCTGATTCTTAGTTAGAGTGAACACCTTTTCATACATTTGTCAGCCATTTAGGTTTTCTCTCTTGTGAAGTCCCTGTTCAAATCTTCTGCCCATTTATTCCCCTAATTTCATTGTTCTTTTCTTACTAAATTGTTAGATTTCAGTATTTATTCTGGATAACTAGTCTTTTGTCAGTTGTATATGGTGTATCTATTCCTACTCTGTAGCTTGTCTTTTACCTTAATCACGTTCATTGATGAACGAAATGTTTAATTTTAATGTAGCTAAATATATCAATATTTTCCTTTATGGTTAGTGGTTTTTGTATCTTAAAAGGAATCCTTCCTGAGTGACATCAGTGAAAACAGCAGAGTAGAGAAATCCAAAATCCCATCACTCTACTAAAGCAGAAAAAAAATTGGCAAAAACAGCCAGAATAAACTTTACCAGAACTCTGAAAATGAATAAAATGTTTACAACCAGGTGAACGGTTAGTCAAGAAAAACAAACCAAAAAGGTGGCCTTGAAGACAACAGCCCACGCTCCCAATACACGTCTGTAGTACCAGATGGAAAACAAACCTTATATGAAAAGAATTGCATTTTTTTTGTTTTGAAATATCTTATGACTTATTGAAGGACACATTCAAAGGGCTTGCCTTTATTTCACTTAACTCAGAATACTCCCAGGGTTGAGGCAGCTACTCCTTGGGTAGTGTTTGTCCAATTATTAAAAGGCAAATGCATTAGACACTGTCATCTGGGCATGGGAAAATAGGACAAACAACAGATAAAGTGAAAACCTGGGAGTGAAGGCTATGAAATGAGGTACTTTCAGGCATAAGGACTCTGAAAAGCTCTCACATATTCTTTGGACTCTAAAAGGTCAGGTTTTCCCAGGGCTAGGCACATCCTCAGAAAAGATCTAAGGCTCTATACTAGCAGGAAATGTAAGCTAATGCAGAGTTGTAAATTGCCTGGCTGAGTGTTGAAGTATGACCTAATATATAAAAAGAGCTCATCTACAAAAAATGGAAGATTTTCTCTGATTTTTTGTTTTGTTTTTATTATTGTTAATTTTTTGGTTCCAGGCATTTAAGGAAATACCTGTCAAATCACTAGTTGACAACTAATGAAACAACAGAAACTTCAGAGGTTATGCACAGCAAAGGAAATACAAGCTTGACAAAGGTATTTCAAAAAACAAACTAAACAAACAGCTACTGCTGCTAAACAAGCCACAACAAAAAGCCCCAAGAAGAGGGGAGAATCTAATTTCCAGAGTTGCCA